TTTCCCTCCGTGATGCAGGCCATCATCCAATCTAGACATCATACAATCTAAGATTTCCCGATGCATTTATATGATATAATGAATGAATTAAAGTACACACCCAAAATTTATATTTCATAACCATCCATTAAAACAGTTATTTGCTCCATTAGTTGAAAATGAAATGTTTCGCAAAATTCATGCATGATGATGATTTAATGATTTCTTAAATGAAGATTTACTGCGAAAATTCAAGATCAATGACAAACATTCAATGATTGGAATTGACAGCATAACTTATAAATGTAGATTTTAGTTTTAAGTAAACCTAATCATGTAGGTAGATCCATAGCTAAAATATAGTATAAAATAAGATCAAGAAATTAACTAACTGCTAATCCAAGCCTCGCTCTAGTGTATGGAAATGACTTTTGTCGGAATTTCAGTCCCCACTTTCATTATATTAAATAGATCTATATCCAAGCAGCACATAAATACAAGAAGAAAATGAAATACTCAAATTATTTTTAACATCCCATTTTTTACCCAGCCCTTTGATTTTTGTAATTATTTTAAACTATGTATTTCATAAAATATTACATGTATTAGAACTATGGCATCCACTGAAAGTATACAAGAAAGCACCCTATTTTGAATATCTTTGTAAGCGTCTTCATACTAATATAAATAATTTTGAGTCAATATTAATCTTTGATACAATCATTTTAAAATTAGAAACTCCTTAGTTTACTCCACTACTACTAATGCCAATCAATGCTTATCTTTAATAACTTCAACATATATTTGCTAGGAAACTTTTCCTTAAATGCACACAAAAAATTTGTATACTCTTTTCATTTAATATATTTAACAACCAAAAATAGTTTCAAATATAATTTCTTGATTCCATGTCCGATTGTCCTCACCAATTACTCTATAAGATGATTCAAAAGTTTAATCTCTTTAAAATCTTAGCGATTTTTTTGTGTTTTGTTACAAGTTTTGATGCTAAAATATTTCTTCTATAATTAGTTGCCTTTTTTTTATTTATAATTTTTTCTTTCTTAACCTAACTACTGTGATCACATACCTCTCCCTAAATTTGAATGTTTATCTGAATTGGACCTAAAGCTTACATTTATGCATCTTCTTTTGGGTTCACTGAACTTCATCTTTTTGAATCAATTTGTAAATGCCTCACTATTTTTGTTCATTATGCTCTTCCATAAGATTTTTTTAAACACCATTTATTTCTTAAATTAGCATTTTAATTTTTTCATGATGTATTCATTTATAATATTCCTGTCTTGATCGAAGTACTTAGACCTTCGATCTCTTGCTTTATTTATGTAATATATCTTTTCTTTCTCCTTCCTACTATTTAGTTATTATATAATCATCAAACTTTGCTTCTTTTGCTTATTTTAACTACCTTGTTTTATTAGATTTGAGCTTCTTTATAATTAACTTTCAATATTAGTTATTTTTTGCCGTTTTTTTGAAAATACATTTATGTTCATTAATAACATTTTGTAACTCTCAGTCACCTAATTTTCTTACTGATGTATGATGTGTACTCTAAAATATCTATGACAATCTTCTTAATTGAACAATACTTTTATTCCATATCTGGTTTGGCTCAATTAAGGAATTTTATTTTTTTCTTTCCTTACAACCTGTCTTGAAAATTTTAAAATTTCTCAGTTTTCAAACTCTACAATTTCACCGTATTGGAATTATGTCTTTTGATCTATTTCTTTAAACTCCTAAGCTATACATCTATAATTGCAGCTCAATACTGTGTGGTTTGACTTAAATCACCTTACTATCCTTGCAAAATTGATTTTTCTTCCTTCTAAATAGAAGGAAGTTTATATATGATTTGATGGTTCAACTTTTGAATGTAATTAAGTGCTATTCTGGTTTCTTATATGTAATTGTGATTGCAAGATCATATTGTATTGCGAAAATCAAATACAACTTCTCCTATGGCATACCATTTATTCCATACGCATAATAAATCCTTTCACAACGTATTTTATTCAAAGCACCATCTCCATTTAAGTTACAACTAATAATCATATTGTGCTTTTCTCATGCAAAGTGTTATAATATATCATTTATCTCCTTCTGAAGTTGATTTTTTAAAATTTTTCTTTTAGTCCAACTTTAGAGCACAAGCATTAGCTGCATTTGTAATGTCATCATCGACAATAGATGAAGTAGTGAATAAACTGATATGACCCAGAAATTAGGGCAAACATAATTTTTATTGCAATAATCCAAACAACTCAACAGTAATACAAAAAATAAGCACCTACAATTCGAGAGTTGGGCAATCTCTCTCGATTCCTACAATTCAAGAGGTAGGAAATCTCTCCCAAATCCTAAATTTAAGACTCACAACTCAATATTATGTATAAACCTATTCCTAGACACGATAAGCCTATTTAATAGAAGACTAAATTGCCCTTAGATGTACAAAATACAAATTTGCCCTTAGACTAGGTGCCAACCTAACACTATCCTATCACTTACACTATTTATCTCAATAATTTAATTCGTCAATAATTTATTCATTATTCTCAGTTTTTTTTTTATTGTTAATATTTTCAATGTAAATTAAATTGTAATCCTACCTGATGTCTTATAATTCCCCTGTTGGCCTCTTGTGAGTAACTCATGTTCATTATGCTTTTTTTCATTATATTTACTAATCCAAATGTTCTCAAAATCCTCAATTTTCATTTAGCAAGTTTTAGCTTTAAATCTTGTTAACCCTTTCACATTTCATCAAAACTGACTTAATTTGTGATGCATCACTTAGAAATGATGCCACAACTAACCTTTACTCACTTTTTACCATAATTTAGCACATCTAGTGTTTCCTTGCTTAGCAAATTTAATACTCACTTAATCTTATTTAATATTGAACAAGGTATTGAATTTATTTGTGCAAGCCATTTTAACACAGTGCAAACAACCTTATGTTTGAATACTACGCGTGGTATTGAATTTATTTGTGCGGGGCATTTTTGCACGACTCTTCACAATGTTGTTAAGTTTAGTCAACTTTTAACTTCAAATCCATCCACATTAATTTTATGTCTACCTTATGGGTATATGGTGTAGCCTCTATTGCATAAAATCAACTAAATCTTTTTTCAGCAACATTGGATTGTCGATATTTTCTATAAATTGCCCATAATTCTTTCTACAGCTCCACGCATGTTTAAGTTGACTCAGCCCAAATGACAACCTAAATGCTACTGAGTACCATTCTGACAATAGTTAGAATGACTTGTTCTGTGAATGATCACCTTTGTTGCTTTGTTAAATATGGAGTAAAGTGCGAAAATAGTCCCCCAATTATTTACATTTGGACATTTTAGTCCCTGAGTCTATAAATTGTCAATTTAGTCCTCAAACTCTTTTACTAATGTTGACATAGTCCTCCATGGATACTGTTTTAGCCCTTATTAAAAAAGTTTGGTGAAGTAAATTGACACTCTTATAGAATGTGGGACTAAAATGGCACCCATTAATGAATCGAGTGACCTTTTTGACACTTTTATCTGTTAAAATGCTTGCATAAGTTATGGAGGCAAGGCACATGATCCAGCAGCCAATCACCCTCTACACCGTAAGGGTCAGTTTGAGAGAGTTTTCTCACTACTTTGTTTTCTTAGGCCTCCGTTCAACTATTGTGTTTTACTTGCTTTTAAGATATTTATATGATAGGAAATTTCTTTTGAAAATCATCTGTTTAGAGTGTGACAGTATAAGAAAACAACTGCCATACTTTCTAAAAAATAAAAGTTTTTAAAATACCCACAGCAACTTATAAAAGAATTGTTATCGCTATAATAGCTTTATAATCATACAACAACAACAACAAATCCTTAATCCCACTATGTGGGGTCAGCTACATGATTTCTTTTTCTTCATTGTGTCCTATTTAGTGTCATATTTTTATTTAGTTCTAATAAATTAAGATCATTTTTTTATACAATAAGTCCAAGTCTTCCTAGGTCTACCTCTGCCTTTCTTGACATAAGTCAAATCTAAAACATCTACCTTCATCAGATGGTCCTACATCAGATGGTCGACGCTTTATATTCATATTTGCAAAAAAATGACCTGGGTGATTAATTTGTAAATATCAATATTTCAAGTGTTTTGTATGTAATTATCCCATAGCTCCCCCAAAAGGACTTCGTAATACCTTTTTTTTAGTCTTTTCGATAATTGGCAGGACAACAGTAAACTCCCTATTAAACTGTGCAAAGCTTCCCAATAATGGAGGCGACAAAAGCAAATACTCTGCTCGAAATCAAATAGATTGAGAAGAAAAATGGAGCAATAAATTAAGAGGAAATAGAAGGACAAGTTATACTGTTATCTTTTCCTGATGCATTCCCAACTAATTATAGCAAGTCCTGCTGCAAGCCTGTGTTAAATAGTTTCCATGTCGTTGTATCTTGTAATTCCCATATTTAGCCAAAATTACAAAACAACCTAATCTTCAAAGGGTTCCATTGAAGATTTTTAAAATGCTTGCTACATTTTGAGCAGCATTTCATGCCACCTATTTCCTATGTCTTTACATATCTAACACTTGAACTTTGTTTTTAACGTTTCTACCACTCAATTCTTTCATATTGCATAAAAAATATCATTATTTTAACTTTAAAAGGTGAAATACACTTAATCTTTCAGATGGCATATATGTAAAAATTGAAGTTTAGGTGTTGATATGTAAATATGTAGGAATTGAGCGGTATGAATGTAAATCCTTCTTTTTTACAAGCAGATAAATGTTAGGTTAAGTTATCTTATTTAGCAAGCATGCTCAGTTGAATGATGAATCTGGTAACATATCCTTGCTATATGACTATTCTATCAATCCATTTTTACTACAATTATGTGTTTTATAATTAAAAAAATTTGCTTTTCTCTTCTTATACCATAAGCCGTATCCCATCTAAAGTTATATGCAACTATTTCTACTCTTTTTTCAGGTTTGATGTGATGCTTTGAACTGCCAGCGTTTGCATGCTCTGCAATGAAATAGGTTTGTTTTTTTTATAAAAGCAGCCTTCTGCACTGGACAGAAATATAATTATAAACTTGCCTGCTTTCTTTTCATTTTGTTGCAAACCTGTTATCCATATGGATGAAATAATTGTATTAAGTTTTCACTAATGCATTGGTCTTGTACTTCTCATCCTGTTTCTATATATTTATATATAATTTAGCTGACTGAGTCTTAAGAAATTGATTTGAGCTGAAATTAATGATTTTGTGATTACGACTATTAACAATAGTACAAAACTGCAATTTGACATTAATACAAAAGATTATAAGATACATATAAAAAAATGTAGAGAAAAATAAATAAAATAAAGTTGTGAAGTTTAATGCATTTGAAATATTTTAGATTTAGTTTGTTATGTATAAATGAAATGTAAGATATCACTTGTTAGAGTTCAGTTTTAAATGAAATGCATTCAATGTAGGAGGTGATGTATGCCGGCGTTAAATGACTAACAACAGTCAGAGTTGAGGCGAATGGTGATGGAGACCAATGATGTCTAATGGTGGAAAAAATATTGCATTAGAAGTCCAGATTCAAAACTACATCAGTATCCCAATCAAAATGTGTCACATATACAGTCTGACCCAACTGAATACAAAAACTAAGTAGTTTAATGGATGGTGGGGCCTGATTGTACAAGTGGCGCATTGTGATTAGAGTTTTGTTGCAGTTTTGCATCAGGACTCCTGATGTAATATTTTTTCCATGTGGTGATAGTAGCTAATGATGGCTGCTAGCCGATAGCCTGGCTATGTTTGGCAGCTAACTGTTGTGATGGCTGCAATGATCACTACTTTTGGTGTATTTACAATTTGGCCTAACATTAGTATGGAATAAACCACAAATGAACGATAAGATGAGTTTGCATTTCATTTCCTACATACCAAAAATCAAATTTTCTAAAGCCCCTTCGTTCCAAATACGGTACACACATTTTGCATTAAACCCAACAACCATAAGTCACAGTCCTAACAAATGGTCACCAAATCACTCCACTTAAAGAAGAAGAAATTCCAATTTATGTTTCAACAAGAGTGCCATTACAAGATAAAAATATTTATGCGTACATATTTCGTTTTCAATACAAACAAATTACAAGAAGAAAGTTTAAACACTGATTAACGGGAACAACAACCACCCAAATTACACTACTTATCCAACATAAATTTAAAGCTAAATACTCAAATGAAAAGATAATGTTGACTCTTATGCATGATTAGGTGTAGTTTGTGATCTAGTGATTTTATGAAAGATTTGGCTTAGAATTGTTGCATCCATATGTCAACAATGCAGAGGACATCAACAATGCAGAGCACGACTATGTGTGTGCAGTGGTTGGCACTAAAAGAGTATTGTTAATGTCCTTTGCATTGTTGACATATGAACTTTAATGTCCGCACCAAATATTATCACTCAACGGAAGTAAGAGCGCTGAGCTAAACTTGGTGCCGGTAATTCCATATATATTTTCGGAGGATAAGACAATGAATCGAACAGTTTTCCTCAACGTTCTTTATACAAAACTTGAGAATCTTTCTTATTAGATGAGTTAGTTAAACTCAACAATTGGCTAGCAGACATCTAAAATTTGTCAAGTCACATTATGATTTCTACCTTTAATGAAATATCAAAACTTAGCAATGTGAATGCATGTTATTCATGTAAATATAACATCTTACATGTCTTACAAGAATGTGCTTATTTTCCATTTTTTAAGAGAAAATTATGTACATAATTGAAATTAGCATTTTATAAAACTAACATTCACATCATATTTGTAAACTATCAAATTCTTATATTTGTGTGTGTCATTATGAAATTATTAGGCATTTGACAAAAGTGAAGAATAGGAGTTGAAATTTTATTCACCCTATTAAATAGGGTAAATTTTTGGTAGGAATCTAAAAAAATTGATGCAAGTGTTATAATGTTGCAAATAGTCTAATTTGAAGTGTTATAAGTGTAATTATTTTCTTAATTTAGTTATTAGATTTTATTTAATTATTAGATAGATGTATCTATTGGATAGTGATGTTACTTAGGGCGATTTAAACACACACCACTTAAAACTTCTCATATTACATATCTAACACTTAAATATTTACATTTATTTATATAACACGTAGAATTTTCTTAATTTCACAATCCTAGCACTCTGTTACCTTCGCTCCTCTATCCTCTTACCCGTCTAGACAAACGATAAAATTCTCTCTAAGTGTGTGAAAGCCCTCCATCCTAGGAGAAATATTTGCGTACGTAAGATGTACGCAACGCTGTGTATGTTAGGTAGGTTATATGGAGGGTATTGAGGGTTATATCTGCGTTATACCCTCTGTAATCTTTCTGTAATTTACCTGTACAACGACTATAAAGTGGATATAAACCCCAATACCCTCTCTGTAACATACCAGATGTACGCAGTTCTGCGTACGTCTTACGTATGCAAATATTTCTCCCATACCAGGCTATTCTAGGATAAAATATTATGTACGTGCATCTTACATGCGGAAAGTCAGTCAGGATACAATATGTTGTGGAGTATACCTTCGTGTTTACAGTAATGCTCGAACATGATTGGCTTTCCGTATGTAGGTTATGCCCATGCAATATGTTGTTTCAAGACAGTTTGCAAGTGATTTGGACGAAAGCATTAATATTCAGTTGGTTCTGAGTTTCTATGCAGCATGAATGTTTTCCTAAAATGTAATATAATTAAGAACTTTAAAAGAAGAAATGAAAAAAATGTGAAATTAAAACTATTAAATTTAATGTTGTAGCCAAGGACATAAATTTAGAAATAATATTAGCAACCCTCTTCCCTTTACTTCATCAAATTCCTCTACATGATATTTTGTTTCTAGATGGGATCCCTTGTGTCTTTCTAAAACTCCAATTTTTATTAGTTCTTAATGGGACTCTGTTGAGAGGGATAATATTACGTCCGGTAAATCGGACGTGTGGTCGATGATATGAAGCACACCATGATGTCGGATGTATAGTGTGGTGCGATTCATGTCGTCATCTGCATGTTCGATGACGGACATAATATTTTTTTCATGTGGAAAAGTAGCAAAATTTCTATGAGAAAAGTTTGCATTTGTAGACAAATAAAGTTGAGCACGATGGGTTACGTTGTGGCGGAGAAAGATTTATAAGGAATTGTTTGGCTGCGAGCAAGATTTAGGGCGAGTATGATCCGTTAAATCTACCCTCCCGTTGGATCTAGTAAATCAGGATTTAAGCTGAATTGAAGGTGAAATTCGGAAACTTATAAAATGAGTTTATGGAAGTGTAAATGAGGAGAGCGTATGGGGGAATTTACAAAATTTTATGTGTGATAAAAATAAATATAAAGGGTTGTATGGTAGATTGGAGTAGGATTTAACTTAATTCTAGTTATATATATATATATATATATATATATACACGTCTCGTACTCAGATCACTTGGTCGGACATCTGCTTGTCAGTTGTAAGTCCCCTCTGGTTTCATGCCC